AGAAAAAGGAGAGAAAAATAGATTATTATGGAATTTTAAAAAGAGTAGTGATAATTTTTGCCTGATAGCACTTAATTCAAACAGGCTCATCCTGAACCACTGTTCCCAATCCCAGCACCCCACAGTAGCGAGATGTGCATCACTCACAGTTGTGCATTTTTTTGTCCTTACATATTTCAAACTATTTAGAGTGGGATTTCAATCACAGACTGCATACGAGTAAGTCTGCTTACATTGCTGTGCTCAGCAAAATGGTCCAAACACAGGACCAAGCCAAATACCTGTGAGTTCAATTCCCTCTCTAACTCTGGCTGTCTCTGAGGCCATGAAACACAGCGTTTGCAAATCTAGCTTCTGAGCTTGGCTAGGACAAATACAGACTAAATATCACAAATGCTTTGAACAACATTTCTTTGACATACTCAGAAGCTCTGAAAAACAGCCCACGGTGTCTCAAAAGATAATGCAAGATTACTAGTGGCATTTTATAAGCAAAATTTATCTAAATCTGTCCTGGAAATCTGTGTAAAATAACATGTATGTTAGTTCTTATTTCCCTAAGTGAAGGGAGGTGTGGAGTTTAAAATTTGCAGAGATTATGAAAAAAAGGCATTTACATGAGTTCTACTCAGGATTAACATTAAAAGTGCATTAATAGTTAATATGCAGTATTTGCATATTTCATTTTCATTAATATTTTAGTATTTATATACCACAGATAGCATCACCTCCTCTAGGTTATGTTAATTTTAGGGTTTGCACTACAGAGCTGCAACAAAACTGTGGGCATACACTTAGTTTATGCCACAAAAGAAATCTACCATTATCTTTATGCACCTTGACATTGTATGTTTTAATTGGCAGACTGGTTTGCCTTTGTTTAGTAGTGGAATATAAACTATTTACCAAAGCCAATTTTAACTATACAGTTGTCTTACATTCGGATATAATAAACATCCTGTTCTCAAGTACAACATCTACTCTGAGGAACTAAAAATTCTTTATAAACAAACAAATCAGAGCTAGGATGAAGACAGCAATTCACAGCTATGTTACAATGTTATGACAGCATCACAGCAAGTAGAACAGCTGGAAGAAGAAACGTGAGGCCAAGTAGCCTACGTTGGACAACAGTTGTTGTCTAGATACCACAGTTACTGTTTTATGTATTCTGCTATATGGGCTTAAAAACGATAAAGCAAACGTTAAATGATTATGTTATCAACCTATTAGCAGAGACATCTCAAAAAGCAAGCTTGGAAAAAACAGTTGGCACTGTTTTCTTTAGTGACATCTAGAAAGGGACTGAAATCTGTCACAAGTAGTTGTAGTTTCTGCGGCCTTTGCAGCACAACAGAAACAGAAATGTAGCTGTGTATGACTAAATATAATAAACATTTTTTTTCTAATTGATGAAAATGCATGTTCATGAACTAAAGGAGTTAACTACTCCTGTTTTTTCAGTGTATGATATTCCTATCACAGTTTCCTGAATCACCCACCCAAAAATCTTCAATGCAATTAAAAAATAAACTAAGTAGACTACATGGACTTATTTATAAGCCTTCAAATGAAAAATCCTGAGGCTAACCATAAAGCTGTGGAATGCATTCTGAAAGTCACCAGGTGAGGACTGGTTTGGACCAACAGGGAAACATATTTTGAAAATCAAAAGTGCTCCTCTGGGGAGCTACTTGTCAATCAGAGTGTCAATAAAAACTTGCAGGACTGATTATAGCAAAGCCAGGTTTTAGGAAACCGTATAGAGGTAAAATCAACAGAATGAATTATAGTCAGAGAAAGTGGAAGCCTCCGCCATCTACTGAACAACAAAATAACATGTTTTCCCTGAGAAACAGAAACTACTAAACAAACAGGAAACCACTTCTCCTGGCTGAAGCCTGCATGGCTGTTCCAGAGAAACCATGAACATCTAACTGCCAGCTACAGACGTGCCTGGTTTGGGCAACACATTAAATGAAGATTATCATCTTCTCATCAATAACAAAATGCAGCTTCTGACTACCTCTGTATTGGGAAATGTGCAGCATGAGAACCCCTAGACTCCTGTGCACAGGCACAGCTTGAGAAAGCCGTTTCTCCAGAATGGATTTCACTTCTTCACATTCAGAGAGTAAAGAGCATTCGGTACAACCTCACTGAAAGAAGACGAAGGGTCAAAACTGAATTGTCTCAAACTCCTGTTTGCAACACAACAAATATTCTTGGTGTAAACTGGCCATCTGCATTCTTTAAGCACCCCCCAAAGAGAAAAAGAACTAAGGAAGTCTTAGGAAAAAAAAATTTTGTTTACAGTTTGCTACTAGGGAACACTGATCCACTTATGGTGGGCAGCTACAGACTGTCTTTTGTGGTTCCACGAGCTGTTTCCTCTCTCTCACCAACAACAGTGCTCCCGAAAAGAGGGCAGGTTCATTCATCACCCAAACAACCACCAGCTCTCAGCAAAGAAAAAACCCAAACTTCAGCCACACTCAGGGAAATGGCATGAGTGAAGGTTGCTAAAAAGGAAAGAAAACAGATGTAAACCAGCCAGACCTATTAAGGAGCTTCAAAAATTAACAGCTGCACAGTTCCACAGGAGCAGACTGAGGGAAACCTAAATCCTCTAGCCACTGTCTCATTCTTTTAATGTGAAACGAATGAAATTTATGGGATATCTAAAATAATCATCTCATTGACCTTCCAAGATCTTTTTCTCAGCCTTTGCAGAGTTCTGTATAATAATGGAGAGGAATCCATCATACTGACATGCAATCTACAGGCAATTCATCTACAGTGCTCTCAGGACTTTTCCTATTTGCATCATTGTTAAATTACTGTGTTGCTGCATCAATACGTGAGGCATCAGAAGCAAGTCTGAATGGATTCCACATCTGATAATGCCAAAAGAACTTTAAAAAAAATATCAATTCTGTGTATTTGCTAACCATTAAAAGTAATGCCTTCTGGAGTGCTTAAACAGTCCTGTGCAGAGTTCCAGCCTGTTTGGAAATTTCCACCAGCGAAACATTCCCTAACCTAGAAGACACTGCGAGTGACAGCTTGGAGACAGAGTAACGATGGAGTCACCTCTACAGAAAAAGCAAGCAAGTTGAAGGAAGGCTCTACAGAAATTATTCTCCTTTATGAACATATTTCAGCAAAGCACTCATACAAAAAAGGTCTGAGTATCACCTACAGCCCTGCGGGGGTACAGGGTGACATGAGGAAAACAAGTACCTCAAAAAGTATCGGTTTCAATTGCCCAAGTAGGCATTCAGAACTGATAAGCTAAATTAAGCATCTAAACCATTAAAGGAAATAAAAGGTTAAAAGAAACCAGTATCTTAAATTAACTGCAAAATATAGAGAGTTTTTATTAGAAAAACAAATTGGATCTTAGCAAGTCATATGTAAGGTTGAAAAGCCTAATCAGCTACTTTCTCTTAGTCTTTTTTCATTTTGTGGAATGCTATCATGAACAACGGTTCTGTTTTCTTATATGCCACCTTTAACTAGTTAAGAAAGCAATCAGTGTACTGAATCCTTTAAGGCAATGGCGTTGTTCCATACCACACACAGCCCTAGCAAATACCTCGTACTGGTCTGGAATCAAGCCAAGGTAGCAGTACCATAGGCTAACTGCCAAATTTGAGAAAATGAAAAAAATAAACCTGATATTCAGTCAAACAATCGGGCACACTCACTAACTGGAAATGAAAGCATTTATCTTGTACACTTATACTTGGTTCATAACTAGTGCACATTTAGAAATCATGTGAACTAACTTTCTGCCAAACTGACGATCTAATGCGGATCATGCTGCCATTAGCAAAATTAGCCTTTCAGTACACACAAGAAGTTCCTGCCCAAATCACAAAGGACTGCTAGCTGATGAATAGACCCTGCACAGCTTCTGAAGCCCTAAACTAGAGTCAGTTACTTTTGTTAAAAAAAATAAAATTAAAAAAAAAATCCCTCAAAACACTTTGCTTCCTTTCATTCTGTACAAAAATATGTTTTCAAGCTTTAAGGGGCAAATTCTCTACTTGTTGCCCAACAGCTGGCATGGGTCACCTCTGGGGAGCTCCACAGAAAATAATTCTTCCTCCCAATGGATGTCAACCTTTTTACCGGAGCCTCTGCCCTCTCACGATGGAGTGGTGTGTGCTTTCGTGGCCGATTTGTATGAGGACCTACCATCCTCAATACTGCCCTGCCTAAGGCCATCCAGGGCATTTCCACATTTAATGTTGCTCCCTCAACCCCACCGTCCTGTCTTCCTGAGAAAGACTGAGATGCCCATGCTACAAACGTCTTCACGCATGTGTGAATCACAGAGGGAGAGGGGTGGAGGGGACTTTTAAGACTTCCCCAGCATTTCCCATATCTTCTTAGAATTTTCCAGTATTTAAAACCAAGAAAGAACATTCTTTGAAAAATCATGACTTGGCGGATAGCCCAATGTCTTGAACCTCAACTGTTCAACTTGATCAGGACTATACAAGTCACCCAACCAAGGGACGTTTTCTTTTGTTGTAAACAGACCCAAATTACATAATGGCTTGAGGAAGCCTTTTGCCTTTCTGTTTTAATGAATTCACTTCCTTAAAAAATTATATTTAGCCTGTTGTCCCGTTGAGAAACACATTAAATAGTCTAATTTTGAGCTAAACAGAATGTGTACTTTGAAAATATTTTTACACATGCTAAGAGTGTGAAAGCTTTCTTTTTCATATATGCAAACTGGCATCTTACAGTAAAAAAAAAAAAATCAAACCAAAACCAGGCTACTGCATTTTATTCATATGTTATTTCTGAGCTATAGAAATATTAATGAAGATGGACTACCTCAAAAGAAGGACTACAACATCACTTACCTGAAAGTCTTTTGTAAGGCTTGTTACTGCTCTTAGTGCCATTTTGATGTTTCTTGTCTATTGATGGAGCTATAATTCCTTTGCCGTTCAGAATCTTTTCTGGTGACGGTGGCACTGACTTGGATGTCAAACCAGATTTAACCAAAGTTGGAGCAGGTATAGTGGATGAAGAGGCTGAGGACGAGGTGATGGTGGTAGTGGTTGCAGAATTCATTTTAACATTGGCACCATCTGCCTTCACTAGGTTAGGAATTTTCTCTAGACTGACTACTGGAACAGGAACGCTGCAAAACCAAATAAAAATCTTCAACTTGTACTTTCTGTACCAAAGACTTACAGTTACTTAATCCCCTTCCACAGATATAAAAATTTCAATGCAAGTGACACGGTATCTTCAGACCAGACTAAAATGAAATACTTAGTACCATTATTGACTATTTTTGTTCCATCAAATGTTTACAAAACCAAGCATTTGTAAAGGTCTAGAGAGAATTATGAAAATGAACTTTTGTATTTTTTTTAGATCCAATCCCCAACTACTCATAAACAAAAAAAGTCTCTGGTACTAAGCAAAACATTCCCCCTTACATATATGGCCTCATGCCTTTAACACAAGCACATATCAGATATGTGTATGCTGTACTAAACTCACCATGATAACGAAGTAGTTTGCTAACAATATTAATATTTTTAAACAAACACAAAAATAATTCATTTGCTCAGATGTGTCTGAATGACATACAAGTTCTAGAAACAAGGAGAAAAGAGATTTTAAGCATAGAAATCTTAACAGTGGTCCCTTTAAAAGTATTAAAATCCTTGATGAATTGAGCATTACTAAAATTTATTCTTAATAAAATCTTATCAACTTAAAATTAAAAATTCCCAATATAATTATTAGCTTAGTTGGCCCTTTTCAGAATAAAGTTTGCAATAACTAACTTCTCCTAACTTAACTACCACCGCAGCATATTTGCAACGCTAACAAATGTTACCTTCTCAAGTTGGCAGCAAAAAAGATTGAGACAAGTGATTTTCCATTCCAACATTATTTTAACATTTCCAGCTCCTATCTGCATGAGGAAATATCCAACAATAAGGATATGTGTGTCTTTTACACACTCAGCAATTCCAAAATGGGCTGTCTTGTGACTACCATTTAATATATAACATATAAATTATATACCCCTCCTTACTGAAACAAACCCAGAGAAAAAATATTAATTTAACAACCTAAATTCTCAGAGCTTTAAGCCCAGGTTTCACTGGAGGCCGCAAAACATCTCACTTATTCAGTTCTTCCCATACACTGCCTGAGAGTTGCTTTTGCCAAATTGTTGACTATCTGCCTCGTAAGCAAATTCACACACAGATCATGCAAAACCAACAATTTTCAGACTATCATTCCACACTGAGCAAACAAAAGAAACATAAGATTTCTTAAATACAAATACAAATTCCTCATCTAGAAGCATACAGTCTCCTTAACAGTATTCCTATCTTTTCCTTTCTGAATTGCACAGAACTAAGGTAACTTCTGTAATTTTAATCCCCAGCATAAAGGTGACAGTTGAGGAGGCTGTCCAACACAGAAAAAAATTCTTCAAGCTTGGGGATTCTTTCTCTGAAAGTCGGAGGTTCAAAGACAATCAGATACCATCATAGTTCTGACCATATAACGTCATGCTTGGGGACAGTTAGCCGGGGGAAGAGTGATTGCTGCTCGGGACTGGCTGGGCATCAGTCAGCAGGAGGTGAGCAATTGCATTGTGCATCACTTGTTTTGAATATTCTGTATAGTCTATTATTATTATTATTATTATTATTGTTATTGTTATTATTTTCCCCTCTGCTGTTTTATTAAACTGTCTTTATCTCAACCTACAGATTTCACCTTTTTTTCTGATTCTCTCCCCCATCCCACTGAGGGAGAGGGGGGAGTGAGCAAGTGGCTGGGTGGTGTTCAGCTGTCTGGTTAAACCGCAACAAATCTATTATTATCTTAAAGGTTTAACTTGATGTACACACTTAAAGGTAACATTAAACATATTTATAAAGAGTGCGAAATTACTCCTTAGCAAACTGTACTCAAGGAACAATCTGCTTCTTGCACATCACTGCAGTAATTTTGCACGGCAGTGCAGAGCTTCTACAAGTGCGTTACTCATGTGATGTTGTCAAATACACAACCGTTGTTAAAGTGGTATATATTCTGAAGTACACTGGCATGTTGCAGTTCAGGTAAGCAGAGTTTCTTGCCAGAGGCCACACTGTTGTCAGCATCCCAGAGCAGGCAACATTTGCCTGTCTGCACATCACTGCACAGTTTGGGGCTTCCTCCCATTCACAAGTCTCACATAATTTCAATCTTTTGGTTCTGGAAAATGGCACCTTCACTGAATTCTTCCTACTGAAGGAATGGTTAGTGGGCGTGGAGTTTCTACAATCAGAAAAAGGTGACCTTGAGATGCATTCACCATGGGACACCCTTTAGAAACACTGGAAGCAGGGTCCAAAATAACTCAAGTCTTGACCTTCCTGGGCTACTACAAACCCTCTCTTTCTCCATAGCTGATAAGCAGAAAGTGCAGCGTGTGTGGCTGGAGCGGGCTGCCATATTGGGAAGTTGTTAGCCTTTGTGCTAAGGGTATTTTTATATAGAAAATAGTACAAACCTCAATATAAACAAAACTAAAAAGAAGATTTAGACACCAAGACATACTCCGAGCTGGAGTTAAATTCTATGAAACCACCATATCCCATATCCTGTGGTACCATAAATACAGCAGTCAGCCAGTCAGAATACAGATCCAACTGCAGTAAAATGTAAAGAGCTGGACAGTAAGCAAAGAAATTTAACTTACTCACAAAACCAGAATTGCAACGAGTATTTCAATGACAATGCAAACACGGAGCTATGAAAGAAAGGATTTGATCCTCTACTTTTTTAAACTGCCCTGCATTTATTAAGTTAAATGACAGACACACATTGTAACATCTCAGGGTAGGAATTCTTTTTTTTTAAACAGATGACAATTACATTTTCTGAAAACAGGAGAATTTTTTTACTCTAGATCAAGTAGTTTTGCTATATAAAAACTATGTAAAAACATATGAACAAATCTTCATGCCCAGTTTCTATGATCTATCTTAATTCAAAGTACTGATAATGCACTCAACCCCCGTCACTGTGTATCTGATCTAGTAGTAAAATACGGTCATACATGGATGGACCATTGTGATAACAAACAAAGCCCAGGGGATGGAACATTTTTGGTTAGTTTTGTTACAGATCAAGAAGTCAACCTCCATTATGCATTTCATTGCAACATAGAAAAAAAAAGAAAAATACTTCAGCATTTGACAACACACATTCTATAGGAGTCCTGGCAGTCTACAGTAAATTATTTGAGATTTTAGGAGCTACAGATGATAATTTCTCTCTATTTTTTTTTTTTAATAGAAGTGGGTACTGCATTCAACATTAAGGAACTCTAGTTTCATCTTAGCATAACACACAAAGATGAATCAATAACCAAACTGCAAATTGGAAGCAGCACAGGACGAGTGACCATGATCAACTAATAAGGACTAAAAAGGTAAATAAATCACAAATGCCTATATTTATATTTGATGGGCAAAGAGAATTCTTTTCCCAAACTGAGTTTTTTGAGCGAAAATTGAGGATATCTTTAAAAAGTTTTTTAGAAAAATAAAAAATAAGGTGCTTAATCTTATTTACTGTATTTTAAAAAGAATTTTTGAATGAACAGCCTGTTTAGACTTATTAAAGAGAACTGCTGAAAGGGACAATTAGAAAAACAACAAATATAAAAACTGTGGAAGGGCACACAACAATCAGTAAAAATGAGAAAAATGGGAGTACAGATGAATGCCAAAGATAGGTGAGAAAAATCTGTATTCAGTAAAAACAAGTTTATTATTTTTTTTACAAAAGAACTGTCATTAGCAATGTAAAAATGACAGAAATGTTCAGTATTTCTTCTATACTAAGAAGGAAGCATGATAACGCTCTCTGATCAGATTAAAAATGGTTTTTGATTCCTCAGTAAGTATAAAGTGCCTGCTGAAAAATAATGGTGGGTTTTTTTTGTTTGTTTGTTTTTTTTTTTTTTTTACACAAGCAAATCTGGAAAATGTGGCCATGAGTTCCAAAAGAGTTGGAGAGATACTGGGTCTCAGCATATTAATTTCTAACTGAATCTTGAAATATTTGAAAACTTAGAGAAGCTAGCTGAGTGCTGCTGTTGCATCCACACTGAAAACCCAAACCAGAGTGTCTTGAAGAAATAATGAAAAAGCTAATAAAAATAAACTGAAAAACAATTAGTTCAGATGATTTTGCTGAAAATCAGATCTTGGCAAAGAAATCTCGTTTCACTTTTTGATGAGGTTACCAGTTAAGCAGACAAAGATAACTGTGAAAATGTTCTGACTTTTGAAAGGCATTATAAAACATAAATAAGAATAGTTTAAAAGCAAATGTTAAACAACATAAAATTAAAAACTAGCTTTTCAGAGATTTATCATTCAATAAGGCTGCTTGCTAGGGGGACTTTTTAGCCATCATAACCAAGTCTGACATGACTGAAAACTTCACTGGTCTTTAGAAATAAATATAAGATTACTGGGTATAACATTTGCCGATGGAATCAGGATCGAGGGAAGCTAAATAATGAAGAGACAAAGGCAGTAATAAAAAGCAGCATGGAGTGTTTGGTGAAGTTCATTAATTCAAAAAGGTATTTTAATAGAAATATGGGGAAACAACACACTGGAAAATAGTAACAAAAATATTTAGTGGTCACAGCGGATAAGCACTATGAGCTTTTATTGTATTGTTGTGCTTATATCAAAAAGGGATATGGAAAATAAGATTAAGGAGCAAATTTAGTTTTCACACGTCACTGGTTATACTGATACTGGAATAGGGCTTCCAGTGTTGCTGACCAGTTGTTCAACACCAATGTTGATGACTTAGAAGGGAACCAGAAAAAGGCTACAAAAATATCTGAGGGCTACACAAAGTGCTTGATCATGACAGGCTTCAGAAGCTCATTCTTTTTCTCAGACAAGATAACTGATTTCCTTCTGTTTTCTCATGTTCTTGGTCAGGCAGTTGGACTAGATGATCATTGTAGGTCCCTTCCAACTGAAATATTCTATTCTAACTACTCCTTCAGCAGAACCTGCGACAAACTCCCAAAACAGGAGTGAATTTCCCTCCTAATTATCTTGTGGCAATTTTTTTTGGTTCCAAGCCATAGCTTGTCACTGTCATTCCCAAGCAAGAAAAATAACTGTAGTATGTCACAACTCGTACCTGGAGCTCCTTATTACCTCTGCTTTCCTTTCTTCAGGCTTTGAAAAATTATCTCTCCTTACTCTTATGTAATTTTGCTAGGGGTTTTTTCGGTCGCTTAAAACTATATTAATTCTAAAATCTCAGCCACTCATTTAACTCTTTTCAAATTTGTGAGAAAAGAAATTCACAAACATTTAAAAACATAAAGCATTGTTCTATTCTACATTGCTGGGATCACCTCTACAATGTACCAAAGTATTTGTGATTTAGTGGTTAGAATATGAGGTCCAAGTTAACTCTGCTGAATTTTGTTTCCAATTCCATGCTGCATTAGGAATATCCTTAAATCTTGACTGGCTTCACTTTCTCGACCTCAGTATGAATAATTTCCTAACACAAAGAAATAAAGACTAAGAGATGATTTAAAAAATCCTTTGAAAAGTGACATTATAAATTTTAAATGATTACCCATAGGTATACTTTGTGATCCTATTTCTTTTTACAGAAAGACTGTCAGTTTTCTACATGTTGAGGAAAACCACATAATTTCCATCTCATTTTCTTCATTTTCAAAACTTCTGGCAGGCAATGGCTAATCCTTGTGGAGGGAGGTCAAGGAGACTTGCTTCAGCTGGTATCTCAGGGCTAGCTTTCTTTAATGCTTTACCCCAGTTTTACACTGCCTCAGGATCACGGATGGGTGGAAATGAACATCACAGCACCAAAATCCTCCAGGGCAGCACTCAGAAGCTGTGCTGGGGCACAACAAGCGAAGCAGCATCCTTTGCACACGTCAGCAGTGTGGGAGAGAGTTCCTGGCCCCACGAATACCTTTTATAAAGGGTCAGTATCTGGGGTATTCTTATTAATTATAATTGCTTGTTCATTATTATTGTTACTACCAATCATCTTACCCTTTGCCTTTTTCTCTCTAATTTCTACCTTTTTGCTATACCTCTTACCACCTTGACTGCAAGCTTCAGAAAACGATGGTTTACATTTGTCTTGGGCACAGCGCAGCGGTGCTCCAGCACTGCTCCAGTCTCTGAGCACTGCTATATTAATAGCAACGATGTTAGAGAGATACCAGGGGGAAAAAATCAGAGCTGACAGATATTTCTGGATGATGTATTCACAATAATCCTTCATATTCCAACTACAAGAAGGAAAGTATCAAAACAGTGGCTACAAAAATGAAATAATTCCAGATCTCTTTCATCTGATCGTGCTTTTTACAGCATTAGCTGAGGAGCAGCCTGAACCTCTGCAGCGCATCTTAGAACAACACAGGATGTGAAGAAGAGAAAGCTACTGAGTCAACGTTTAAGATGATGAGACAACCAAAACTTACAATAAGTTAAACAACGGAAGAGTTGCATCTACACGCAGGCAGGCATGACAACAGACAGATCTACTGGGCCATGCTGTTGCGGAGGCCATTGCTGAGATACTACTACTAATTGTTACAGCTAAAATTTAAAAGAGATGCTGTATGAAAGAATCAGGGAAGGACAACAAAGGTTATTCCAGGTCTGGAAAGCAATCATTACAAGTGATACAACTCCCAAATTAAGCTCATTTGGGAACTGTCTGGAAGAACCTATGTCAAGTAAGTATTTGTGCTACAAGACTACAACATAACAGACAAAAGCACTGAATAACTGGAAGCTTCTGAAGATGATAAACCACACCACACTTGGATACGTGATGAATCCTATTTGCATTTTTGAGACAAATGTATCTATGTCAATTGAGTATTTCTTTCTAAAAGATAAGTGGATGAAATTCTATGGCTTGTACAGACAGCTGAATGGAAGATGTAATCTTATCTTAAAAAAGAATAAATTCCATGAACAATTTCTCCTTTAAGAAAATCAGATCTGATGAATATTTTTTAGAATTCTAAATAAAAATTGTAATCCACTAATGGAATAGGAACAAACGCTATCAGCTCTCTATAACCTGTGATGATTATCAGATTGATTTTATTCTTTAACAGGCCACGTAATCTAAGGCACTTAACACTAAATTTTGAAAGACAATTTCATTGATCTCCACTTCAGACTGTTTGTGGTTTGTTACGTAATGATTATGATATCTTTAACTACTACACGCCTCATTTTTCCCCACTGCTAAACAAAACTACAGTATTATCTCCCAGCAAAGATGCAAGAATTAGGTAATTCACAGGTACAACTACTGACATATTCATTGCCAAAGTATTAAGAGAGCAGTACAACAGTTTTAAACAGCTAAATCTACCTCGTTAATCATCAGTAAGTGTTTGGGATGTTCCCAATAAAGGGAAAAGGGATTGGTAGAAATGCTCAGTTATTTTGTTCCCTTCCAGCTTTTACTGACTGACAGAACGCCATCTGTTGCCAGAATGGAAGATATTGTTTATAGATTCAGTTAGTATGCTGAAATGTGGATAGGTAAGTTGCTGTCTGTATCACTGGGATAAGAAACAGGTTTATAGTCAATAGTGTTAATATTCTAAAGTCCTTTCCGATCTTCTTTTAATTAGACTTAAAAAAAATTCCTCTCATATAAAATTCCTCTCCAACATTTAGAAGAAAAGGTCACTATTCAGTCAAGAATATTGTTTTTAAATAGTAAATGAGGCATTTACACCTTAACTAGAATAGCCTCTATCTCATCTCCATGTATGTGTGTGTGTAATCTAAACATCCAGATTTTCTATTTTCCAAATTATATAGCATAATGGACCAGAATGCTCATCATGCTTACGGAGATGGTGAGTCCAGATTTATAGGAAGGTTAGATTTTGGTCAAGTTTGTTCCACTGCAAAGTAAATTCTACAGCTAGGCAGAAGCTGCTCTCCTTGACATCATACCAACTAGTCCACGTTTCAGGAAGAAAACATGAGCTATTACTTTAACGTAGTTTGAGTTTATGTTTTGAGTGAATGGTTTGCATTGAATTATTTACTGCTTTAAGGCAATTGTGTCCAGAAACCCTACCTAAAATCATGACCTTCTTATGCTAGATATTACATATAAAAGGGAAGGATCTTTACGCAGTAAGTAGATAAAACTTAAGAACAAGGAAGTCCTACTATCTCAAGTTTACAGACACAGATCGGAGGCTGAGTTGTAACAGTAGCCTGTGCAGAACCAGGAACTGAGCCCAAATCTCTTGAGTCACCAACCTAGTGACCTAATCACGAAGCATCTTTTCTGTAGATAACTGAAGACAAAACAGTTTCTTATGGGATAAAATAGTGACCCAGTTCTCTTCTCATTTACATTTTTGCAACTTGGCTGCTATCATCACAGTCACGGGAGGATGGGACCAGCAGTCTCAAAGCTTATATGTGTATATATATCACAGTACATGATGTAAGACTCCCCCAAAATAGTGATTTTTGCAGCCAGAATTTTCTTCTGTCTTCTTATAAGGCATCAAACATTATCAAAATACAGAATGAGCTCCAACCGCAGCTGCTGTTGAAGATAAATGACTGTAACCAGCAAGTTTTCATGAATATCAGTTAAGGCAGTATTAAGAACTCTGCAAGAATTATCCTACTGTTTAAAAGCATCAGTTTTACGGGCTGATACTGTAATGGAAGATGGACCTTAAAGACAGAAAACTGGGTCAATATCTCACTTGCTATATGCATCTTAGAAAAGCAGACTTCTGATGGAACATCAGAAAAATAACCCAGTCCTTTTTCCTCTTCCTATAATATACGTATATTTAAAAAAAAAAAATCTAAAAACATCCCAGGTTCTTCCCTTTAGAAATGTAGAGTCTTAAACTGTAAACTTAGATGAGAATATGGATTTTTTTTATGATTGTGAAATACAGAATCATAAAATCATTTAGGTTGGAAAAGACCTTTAAGATCAAGTCCAAGCATTAATCTAACACTGCCAAGTCCACCACTAAAGCACAGCCCTAAGCACCGCGTCTACCCGTCTTTTAAATACCTCCAGGGATGGGGACTCAACCACGGGGCAGCCCGATCCAATGCTTGACAACCCCTTCAGTGAAGAGGTTTTCCTAATGTTCAATCTAAACCTCCCCTGGTGCAACTTGAGGCCATTTCCTCTTGTCTTATTGCTTGTTACTGACACCCACCTGGCTACACCCTCCTGTCAAGCAGCTGTAGAGAGCGATAAGGTCTCTCCTCAGCCTCCTCTTCTCCAAGCCAAACAGCCCCAGTTCCCTCAGCCACTCCTCATAAGACTTGTGCTCCAGACCCCTCACCAGCTTCATTGCCCTTCTCTGGACACGCTCCAGCACCTCAGTGTCTTTCTTGCAGTGAGTGGCCCAAAACTGAACACAGCATTCAAGATGCAGCCTCACCAGTGACGAGTACAGGAGGATGACCACTTCCCTGGTCCTGCTGGCCACACTATTTCTGATACAAGCCAGGATGCTACTGGCCCTCTTGGCTACCTGGGCACACTGCTGGCTCATATTCAGCCAGGCTGTTGACCAACACTCCCAGGTCCTTTTCTGCCAGGCAGCTTTCCAGCCACTCTTCTCCAAGCCTGTAGCGCTGCATGGGGTTGTTGTGACCCAAGTGCAGGACCCAGCACTTGGCATTGTTGAACCTCATACAGTTGGCCTCAGCCCATCAATCCAGCCTGTCCAGGTCCCTCTGTAGAGCCTTCCTACCCTCAAGCAGATCAACACTCCCACCCAACGTGATGTCATCTGCAAACTTACTGAGGGCGCACTTGATCCCCTTGTCCAGATCATTGATAAAGATAGTAAACAGAACTGGGAGATACTAGAACATAGAGATACTTAGTATTTTTTTACCACCACCATCTTTGGTAACTGTCATTTTGGTACTTACCATGGTTTATCCCGTGATACCTTTGAAGGAAAGACTGTGTGCTGTTTGCTACTGGAGGTAAGTAGATTGTCTTTGGGCGTTTTGAATGGCTTTGAGTTGCTGCTGACAGGGTTATGGCCGCTGATACAGGATTTCGGTTTCATCTGTACTAGGGATGTCCTGGAATTGCAGGCTGGAGAAGCTGGAGAAGGGGAAGGTTTACACATTGAACCGTGTCTTCGTTCTGTAATGGAAAAATAATAAGCTTTACAGTATTTCATAGGCTAACAGAAAAAAAAAGAAGTCAGAGAAGAGGAAATTGCACCTCTCTATGCTAGTTACAATGATTTCATCACTCTGAAGAACACCAGTTCATTACTGTTGTGAATGTAATCAAGTCAAATGATAATTAAACAAAATCAATTCTGTGAGGTGCTCTGAAAAAATTAAAAAATAGTAAAATAAATGTGAATAATCTTCCAGAAAATTTCACCCAAGAAATCTCAAACCATTTTTTAAGCAATAAGCAACCACCAGCATCTGTGTGAGGTACCCTAGGTGTCCCAGTACTTTCACGTAAAGAAGAAAGAGGAGAGTATGTTAAGAACAGCTCAGACGACTCAGTGATACACTCTGTGACAGACATCACTTCTATAACAGCTTATGAAGAATTCCTGTGACATGGTTATTGAGCAGTTTACTTCATGACTACTTTATTTCAAGTTTAATGGGAAGCTATAAGGAAAACAACTGGAAGACCAAGAAGTAGTGTAAGGTCTACTGCTCCCAGCCCTTCCAGAGAAGCAGGCTCTGCCTTGTTTGTAGCTTGGAGGTTATATCCAAGCACCAATCAAGGTAAAAGCTTATTTTTTTCCACACAGAGCAAATGGCAAGTGCAAAAAAGCAGGAAGTTTATATATAAGTTACAAATATTGCATCTAGAGGTCAGGCCCTTGTCTAAGCACTGTTCACGATCACACGAAAGGCCTCTTAAGTACTGCCAAAAGCAAGGCCTTGCTGACTCCACAACAGGAGAATAGGCTTCAGCACTGACAGACTTCAGCAAAATTGTTTGGGTTTCATTATTAGTAGTATTTTTTAAAATCTACATTTCCTATCCCTGGTATTGTTAAATTAAAAGACTGGTTTTGGAAGGTATTTGTCCATTCTTTACAAATTATGTACTTCTCCAGGGGAGAAGTGCTAGTGCTTGGCCAGCCAGCTGATCACAGTGTGCTGCAAACAACAGTCTTGGTGCTGTGAACTTAAGCACAACTATGAAATATTACAAGAAATGGGAGTTGTTTTTTGCTGAGAGGTGCTATAAATGCTTAACAGTCCTGTCCCCCATTCGTGGGAACACCCTTTCCCCAACCCCTTCGCCTCGCAGCGAGCCAGACCTGGGGCTCCCCAGCCAGAGGCGGCGGGCGGCAGGGACTGGTTGGGGGAAGAGGAATTTTCCAGTCAGCAGGGCTGTGCTCAGCAGCAGCTGACTCCGGCTTGCCAGCACCCCGGCACCGAGAGCCTCAACGGCAGGGATCTGCAAGGGTACCCCTGCTACTGACACAGTAATCAAACGCAGCAAGCATCACGTAATTATAGACCAAGAACTTTGGACAAGCTGGAGTTTCTCCTTCAACACGCAGCAATTTTTCCTTGTGCCTTCAGCACTTAACTCGAAGAATCCAAATGGGTACTACTCTTTGAGCTTGCACAGCATAGCCCCATCAGCCAAGAGCGGGTTAAGGAAGCAAAAGCGACCTGCTGCTGCTGCGAGGGAAGGTTTTGTATTTACATCATCAACCCTGCGCTCTCTAGTTTGATATTTCAAGGATAACTAAGAAAAATTTTCCCACAGAGAATCAAAACATGACAATTTGTCTGGCATCCTCACAAGTAAAAACTTGCCAGTAGCAGAAGGATTCATCCATGATTAATTTGCAATAGGCGAATAGCTCAAGAACAAAGATAAATGCTTTAAAAAAGTTAAAGAATATTCCAAACTCTTTCTATTATATCTCCAATGACTAAAAAAAGGCATTTTTAACTAAAGATCAAGCACTTCCATATCTTCATATTCACAGCTTTAATTACAAATGCTGAAATTCCCTCCAGATTCTCCTGCAATGGAAGAACAAAACAGTCTTTGGTTTTTTTACATACAAAAAGTAGCTCCCCTCACACCCCAAATGCCAACTGTCATTTGCCGGTTTTCACCCCACCACACCCCTTGGTGTGCAGCCTCTGCCTTTAAAAGTCCTTTGCAGGATGCAGTTGATTTACATTAATTTCACCTCACGTTTGGGGCAACAGCCGTTTAAGCTACGCATCTGCCTCTGAAATGCAGAGTTCCATTCACGGAGTATTTATTTCATTAAATAATAGTTACTGTTTCAAGATTCACCAACCTTCTCAGCAACTACTTAATCAATTTAAATTAGCTTAATAAAAATTTGCAACTTTCCCATTAATTACTTGAGGACTGATGAAAAGGAACTGCTATGTAACCAACAAAAACCAAGCCGTATATAAAGAGAAACTTGGGAAAAAACATGATTTCCGTACACAAATTATACAAATTCAGGATTAATTACTCCAATCTTCACCACAGCTACTGGTTTTCTCAAGACTGACTGCCTTCTAGTAAACCGTGTCTTTGATATCATCCCTGCGGATATATTTGGAAATGAAACACACTACTCTGTTATTAAAATTAATCTTCCGGAAAGACAGACATTCAAGATACTGACCATCTAAAATTATATTTTAAAGTCATCTAAGTATCACATGCCATAGCGAGTTATTTTTTAACAGTGTCTTTACACTGGATTTTTAGTCAAGCTAAACGTTTGGTGCTTTTCCCTAGACAACTTTCTTATTTTATTAATTCCCAAGCGCAAACCAATACACGTAACTTCGGATTTTTTAGTATAACATAGAAAATGGTGGAAGAGGCACTGTTGTGATATGACAATAAAACAAAATGCATCCCACTATTTTAAGTAAATGTTTACTTAAAAGATAGAAAAGGAAAAGATTACAAGATTACTTATTTTATCTGAGTGTGTCAGATTGGTGGTCATTCTTGTGATCAAAACCAACTGCTGTATTTGGTGTTTCCTTTTACCTCCTCGAACTCCTCTCTTCCCCCAAAACATCACTACAGAAAGTCTTCAGTGTTTTAGGGAGACAGATTCTGATACATATTTGAGAATTATCAGCATTACCCAGCTTCTCTGGAAATTTGCTAGAAGCAAAATGGAAATTATGACCACTGGAGAGTCATACAGGAGGAAGAACATAAATAGCCAGTGCCACACAACCATTGGTGTTCTCAGACACTGCTCGGACAGGTAAAATCTGCACGTTTACTCATGTAAGTGAACATCACTTTAGTGTCAGCAGGAGAAGATGGCAGCAACACCTTGAAGGTAGGGCCACAGCGGAGAGCTGGAAGAGTAACTCCCTCCAAGGGGGCAGAAAACCACTGTTTGAGCTGGGCAAGCATGGACGCAGGAGGCTGGACTTGCAGGGTGGACTTGCCAAAGGCGTGAAACCTCACAGACCAATCTCAATGGTGGGGGTATAAATCATAATTAAATATTGATACATTCCTTCTCAGGAACTATTAGGTTGCCTCTTGCTTCCTCCTTCCTTACTACTTATGTGGTAGTGAATCAGCCTTAGACATTGGCAATAAGTTTCAAAGAGAAATAATGTGAATATATGACAAAGCAAAAAGGCTGCCAGCTTAATCAACTGCTTAAACCAGGGTTGCGCTGCTCCTCTATCAAACTGAGTTTCCTGGTCACATCTGTTTTTTAAAAATTTCTACTGATTTGTCTATTCATATTTTACATATATACAAGGAATTATACACAATATAGCAATCTGCTACTACACAGCCTATGTGACAAATTAATATGTAAATAAAAGACATTTGCACATCAAATAGTAGTTATAAAATTCAATATTCACATACTAACACATTCAGGAGTCAACCAGCCATCCATGTAAAAATTTCTATGCTCATTTGCAGTTCATGTGTAGACAAATTAGATCTAGCAGGGCGGGTGAACCTGTACACACACACAGCTGTGGACATGGCTGTCCCTGTTTACAGACAGAAGTGGCATAGTCACTGGACATAACTGAACCTAAAGTAGAATGAAAATTTTTGCCCCTAAAAAATGAAAAAATTCCTGCAAGGCAACTAGAAAACCAGTTATCACTCATGGGATATTAACCTAAATCCTACATGCATTTCAGTTTCTGTAGAAGCCTGCAATGCTATGAATGTGTGCTCAAGTTTAAAATACGAAAGAGAACTTTTCCAATGCATTTAAATACTTCCAAATGAATGTTTACATGCCACATTAATAACACCACATATTCTGTTTTGTTTCTAAATACCAGTTGCTGTCAAATCCAAAAGCAGAGAGAACACAATCAAAGTTACAATCCTCTTTACTGCATTAATCCTTCTGCAACCCCTCAGCTGTCTCAGCGCAGCCACTGCAGCAAGTGACGAGCAACATGTGACTTCTGCTGTCAAACAGTTTATGTATTAATGACATTAATCTCGGAGGAAAGTTTAACGCTCTCTCACTGAATTAACTGCGCTTTCTAAAGAATCAATTTCAGATCAATATCTGTTATTTTTTCTAGTTAGTGGCAAGAGTCTAAAAGCCCAGCGCTACATATTGTCCTAACGCGCACTGCAAACTCTGCATCAGTAGCATTACGAACGATCTTAAACTATTCCAGGAGATTCTCCACGTCCTATGGAAACATGGATACAGTCCAACTTTCTCAGCCAAATCTGAATTGTTTGTAGATGTGAAGTCCTTATGTTGTTGGAGACTTAACAGTTCCTGAATCTCCAGAGCTTCTCTCCCATGCCCTTGTACTCCATTTCTAATCCTCCTTCCTGCATCCTACACAATGCAACCCCCTACCTTTCCCCAAAACCTCTGTTGCAGCTGCCAAAGTCCTCTAGGTCTGCCTTTGAATCTGTAATTCCACTGGATCCTCTCTGACGGGTCACTAGGGAATACAAGCAGCTGTTTTGCAGGAAACGCCACATCTCCTTCTAATCACAAGCAAAAAAGCAAAGCAATAGAAAGGCAACATGAGCTCCAGAGCCACAAGCACAGCATGTGGGAAATAAGAGGCAAAACCACATTCTGAGTAGAAAGTCTCTTCTCAAATTTTTGCCTCAACTCTCTCACAGGAGATCAAGCACTCACTTAGCTCACAGTAAACCTTACAGACAATGACACACCAGTAAATATGTTGCCAGTAAAACATGCCAACCATATGTTTCCAGGTGGACTGCAATCGTTTTGTACCCAAAAAGATCTTTATGTGATCCTGAAACTGCAGATGTCTCTCATTTGGACTACAAACAAAGAACATTTCTTAGTACATCCCACCTACATCCATTCTTACCCAACATGCGCTACTCAAAATTGATCAAATCAAGTGAACAGCTTTTGCTCACAGTTAGTGTCTTCTCCGTCGGTGAGACACGGAAGATCGCAAAGGAAAAAAGTCATGATACAGCTTGGGCGTAGAGAAAGATATGCCTTTGGTCTTGCAGTATTTTTCTGTAGGTAGTTGAAACAAAACCAAAAATCCCTCTAATGCTGTCAGAAGAAAGATACTAGAACTTTGTCAGCACCAGTCATTTTGAAACATTACTCTCGTTTAGCACGATCTGACTTCCTGCGTACAAGAGGCCTAAAGCAAAAATCAATTTTAGGTTGACCCATGAATAACTTAAGAGACCCAGTGTTATGGATTGTAGTTTGGTATTACACTTGGTAAAAACAAACAAAATATAATTGCTAAACCCCAGAAAGGTACGAAAGTTATTTGCTGTTAGTAAACATTACAGAATAATAAAACTCCTTTTAAGCTTGCATTCATCACAACCCTTGAGTTCATAGCCCTTTTGCTTAAAATAGCATAAGCTAATTTATCTGACTGCCCCTAACACAGTATGAACACTGTTTGTTATTCCCTATTTATAATATTTAAGCAGATGGTAATGAAATTTAGTATCTTATCCACAACGTGATTCTGTTCCAGTAACATATCACAGTCTTGTTGATGAAGATGTTACTTATGGTAACTCCATACACCACATATGCGTAAGTTACAGTTTTTCTATTTACAGTATATCCTGAGGTGTTTTGTTGCACAGCCCTTCCCTGTGCAAAGTTGAGCAATGTATACTTACAATTTCAGTAAATAGTAAGTGAAACCTGCCACCTTGTACTGATCCCAGTTCAAAGTTTGCAAATGTACTTGGCATTAATTCTAATAAAACTAAAACAGAAAAAAACCACACATGCCCGAAAAGCAACAGCCAGCAACCAGAAAACTGAACAACTAGACTGCTTGCAGAAATGTGTCATCCTGCAGTAACTGGCAGCTGGTTCATAACAAGAGTTCATAAACACCTTGTAAGCACTTTCATTTTGCAGCCACAGTCTGAAAAAACCTAACAAAACCCAGTACATGAGGTTAAGCAAAAATAAACTTGGATTTGATGCTAGCAAACTACAGCATTAACATTGCAATACCAAAAGATAACTTTACCAGCTTTTTGGACAAAACACTATTCCAAGTCCAGCTGAAAAAGTTTGGAAATAATACCCGCAAACCGTTCCACCCTTCTTGCGCTGCGCACTGGAAAGGAAACAGCACAGTCGGTTTCATTTTGATACTTCTTGTAAACTGACAAAGGAAATAAACTGCCAGCTCAAACCCCCAGACCGATCCGCTGCATAAAACACAGCTCGACAATCGCAAGCTTCGTTCCTGGTCAAATGACATAACTGGGAAATTATCAAGTGCTAAAATAACCACCGTTCTCCTGGTGTTTATTTACAATAAACACAAGCTTCGCTTTCTGACATAAACCCACTAAAACGATTCTCCATTTCACAAAGTCTACAAGTGAGTAGGATCAGCAAAATTATGCAAAACATCCTGCTAGAAGAAGAAACGTAAACTGAGCCACTTACAGAGAGGAGCAGGCTGCCAACTTAATCTGATTCTACGACGACTGTAAACATGTACTTTTGGAACGCGAAACGATTCACATTGCCACAGATGCCGTCAGAGAAACAGAGCAACGTGATTAGGTATTCTGCACACGGTAAAAAAATCAGGCAGATGACCTGCCGCAGCAAATACCAGATCAGCACTTGCACACACCAACTGTTTTGACTACAGGCACTTGTTAAGCACCAAGTTTCAGGTCCTACCAGTTGGACACCAGAACTGATCCTGTGCCAAGAACAACAAGCACTGAAAACGGCTGCGGGGTTTTTTTTTTTCCTTTGGTTTTTTTTTTTTTTTTTTTTTTTACAATTGTTGATACAACTCAAGTAACTGCAGAAATGAACCAAAGTGCAAAATTAAAAGCAGCAAAACACACAAGTGTATATTTAGAGGAAGACACTGCATTTTTTCTTTCTTGATTCAGGAAAGAAGGAGGGTGTTTGTGTTTAATACAGTAGGACAAACCCGCTGTTTTCCTGAAAAATCTTCTATTTATGGGATAACTTGGCATTTGCTAGGGTAATTATAAGAGACAGGAGAAATAACCGCTAGACTATCACTAAACTACCCTTAAGTGGCCAAATCTCTTAAAAATGGTCGAATTCCATAAAAAGCCCCACACTCAGCATTTCCCAGAACACTTCCATTCCTCTTTGGTAGAAAGCATAAAAAAAAAAAAAAAAAATTAAAGAAAAGAAGGGTCAAAAGGAACTCCAGCATGGCAAAAAAATGCTTCAAATAGTGTAATTAATTACACTAAATGTAAAAGGAAGCTGCTGGGTATTTGTCTGCTTTTACAAGGATTTTGAGACCTAAAGATGAGGCTCCAAGGTATCACTGATGCATCAGAGAGACCGGAAAAACGACGGAAGAGTTAATACCTTGTCCTGGTGACAATGTCAGTCTTCACATCACTGAGCTGGAAGACCTAGCTCTAACTCTGGTGTCAAGGCCTGTTTCTTCAGCTATTAAAGGGGATATTAATGATTTAGGGTATTATCTTGATTAAAAAAAGAGCTGGAGATTTAAGTAGGAATTCATCACTTCTTGTAATGACACAATTCCACACGTGTAATCAGTATTTGCCACCTGACACACTGCTACTGCAGAAAAAAATGGCAATTTTCTACTCTAAGTCATACACGTTTCTCAGCTCAGCAGGGCCAAAAATCCCGGTGCAAAAAAGAAATGACAGAGCAAGTGAATTGCAGGTACACATTTTGAACGACACTCTACCAAAGAAAAGCAAGGAGAGCTTACGTGCAGAAATCTGCCATTCTGCTGGAGGAGATGCTCCAGTAGTTCAATGTGAAACTTGTGAGACAGGCTGATGTGTCGGGCGTGTTTGAGGTAGATACTGTCTCACACCTCATGTCCATTGCTTATACCACAAGGACAGCCCTCACCATCCTTTTGCACTGGTTCCTCTGCACTGGTATCTTACTCCCCGCTGACCAGTGCTAATGACATTTCCACCATTTTTGTTCTCAGAGCAAGGAAATGTATTATCAGCCCTAAACTTTGGGTAGGTACGTCAGGTGAAATGCTAATGTACTTTTAGCAATCAAGCAACAGTACTTTCCTTCAAGCAAAGGTAAGCATGGCCAACAAATCAGAATTTTGTGGGTGGTTTTAAACGCAAAGAGAAATCTTTTATTTGGCTATTTGTTGGATGTAAGAGAGACGTATCTTTACATTTAACACTGAAATATAACAAGAGGAACCAAACTCTAGTTTACTAAATATACAAATTTAAAAGCAATTTACCCATTCATTCCTCCTAACATCTGACTTAAATAATTTTACTCCAGACACACTGTTGCAAATAGAGGAAAATTTAGTATTGCCATCCTCTCATGCTTCGTATTGTGTAACAGACCCGTTTCCTCAGGCCTCAGGCAGATCTTTCACATTCAAGGTCATCTGACGATACATATTTTTATTTATTTACTTATACTTGCCTGGTAAAATATTTCACTGTGTCTCTACCTCCATCTTTAATGATATTTACAAAACATTAAAAAAAAACAGTAAGTAATTTACGCACATTATTGTTTTAGGAACTCTTTGGATGTTTCCCCTCATCTATCATAAAACTATTACAGTAAACCGATACTTCTTTCATGCTTTACTTAATCCAGACATAATGGCATTTGTTTTTACAGATAAGAAAAGATAAGCTGTAGAAGAATGAGACGGGACTACTGAGGTGGTCTGGCAAAAAACAATGCTGTACTATGACTCTGAGAAAAAAAGCTATTGTTTTTAGGAAACTTATGTTCTCTATCTATTTTTGTGCATAATATCATGTCAGATTTTATTTGTTATCAAGATAGCACATCACCAGCTCATTTTATCATTCCTTTTGAAGAAACTTGTACAAAACTGGTAACTTTAAGGAAATTAACCCAGAATAATAGCTTTGCGGGACTTGTGTATAATCTATTGTTTAAACCTTCTGGCTTTTTCAGTTCTAACTGTTATTTCAGATCCAAAACCAGCATCTGGTGAAACAATATATTTCTTAACAAGCTGTTTTATAAGCAGAGAAATAATGAAAAACATTTTTCTAAAAATCTGTTGGTTTGATCCCTAAATTTGATCCATCTCTGTTACCCTGACCTTCTCCACCCCCCCACCCAGCACCCTCGCCATTTCATCCTGATTCCACAGTCCTTTGCTTTCCCCTCCCGTCAGAGAGACAGGATAAACTCTGCCTGGTCTGTAGGTACACGTGTGACAACTGTCAGTACAAGCGTGCTACTGCCACATGAAATACTGTTCTCTGGGGGCACACTAATTAAAGGCGTCTCTTCACAGTTGCTGATTTTCACAAGGTTGCTGAAACTTCAAATTTTTCAAGCCAAATTGGCAAAGAGTTAAAAATTCTTAGACAAAATTGGTATGACGACATAAGCCTTATTGCTATTATTATTACTATTACTACTAGTACCATTATTATAATAATTATCGTATTTTAGGAAACTCAAGTGAAAATTTATATATGAAATTTTTTACTCTGTTTTCAGTGTTTGCCACTCCTCACAGATAGTCCCAGGCATGAAATTAATCCCCTTAGAATAGTCTGACATCTTTTGAAAATCCAGGTAACCAAAGAGATCTGCCCAATTAAGGACACTGTTTTGTTTTGAAAACTGAATGAGCTTTATTTAAGTTTCAATTTGCTGTATCAAACCCTGCTACAAAAGCAATGTAACTGTCAGTGCAGAGTATTTCCTCATTCCAGACATTTTAGATAAATCAGCTCACTCATCTTTCAGGCATATTATTTGCCATAGATAATAAAATCCATTATTTAGAATGCTGCAGGAATACTCACAAGCGATAACCCCCTAATATACAGCCTGCAAAGCGAAGGTGCAAAATAATTCCTGAAGAGGTCAGTTGTTCATATTTCCCTCACTACATACAATAGCTCTTACAAACAAGAAACCAAACTCTCAATCTTCTACAGAACAAAACTGAACAGACAACACTGAAAGACATACCCAAATTCAAAAGTGGGTTTGTAGGGCATCTTTTACCTACGCCTCTCCCTTAAAAATCTCTTTAGTTCTATATTTACATGCAACTTAAAATCTAAAAACACGGTTTCTACTTTAACTTGCATCATTTATGACTTCTAACTGTGCAAACTAAAGAAACTTAGACCTAACTGCACATGAATTAAATAGATGCAAATCAACCTCCGAGAGTCCAAGTGACAACTACTTTGTATTCTGCCTCTGAATGCTCCTCTTCACTATTCTTCACCTCGGTGAACGCCACGCATTACAAATTACTTGTTTTGGATAAACTATTTACCTGTTCATAATACTAACAGCTTTCCTATCACTGCCCTGAATGGGAGAGAGTGTTTTATGTCTACAATTTTAAATGTCTGTTCTACCTGTACAAAAGATTGCTTTCAGATGGGCCTTTACTCAGTTTTTTCAAGCTACTATATAATGAATAACAAATTGAGACTTCAAAATTTGTTGAAGCATGGTCAGTGTTTCAGATGTGTGAAGAAAGGTATTTTCCAAGGCCAGAGACTAGAGTGCAGATCTGAATCTAAGGCATTCCAAGTTTATTCACCCACTCATGTTGCCTCTGTCACGTACTAATGTGGCAGGAATGGCACAGAGGAAAGAGACAGATGATTTCCATTACAGCTACCTACCAAGGTGCATGAACTCCACAACGTAGCACAGCTGTGCAATTCAGCTTTCCCCCCTACCTCTTCCAATGCCTTGAACAACCTGTCATCCAGTGCAAGTGGTTCCAACTTCCTATGCATCTTCCCAGAAGCACACACAAACTACATTTTAGAAAAACTTTTAGGAAAAAATAAATGTGTAGACACTCATCTGCTGATGACATGGGATATTTTTCCATGAGGAGCTCTAATTACTTTCTATAATTACTTACATAAGCTTATTGGGGAAAAAAAAAATCAATTCTCATTAAAACAAGGCATAGCTCAACTCAGAAGAACTCTTGTGAGTTTTAGCATAGGCAGTAAGCAAACAAACCAAGATCATCAGAAGTCCAACTTGCAAGCAAGTCTACGCGAAGGAATCAGTTTTACCTGAAGGAATCAGTTTTACCTGAAGACATTTAACTATGAGGTATGCAACAGGATGTCTCTGAGAACATGCATGCAATAAACATCTTTCCAAGGTATCAAATGTTTGACATGTATCAGTCATTTTTTATTTAAACCACCCGAGTCAGTTGGAGCATAGGTAAAACATATTAGGATGATTATTTCCTACCAGGGCTTAGCTAGCTTTTTATAGTGCTAGAACCTGGCTTCATCCATGCTTGGTGTAACGTGTCACTTCAGGTGGAAAGAACGAATAGTACATCTGTTTGTCAAGAGATGAGAGTAGCCTTTGGTCAGCCAAGAAATGATTACAGGGCGAGTAAGCTTGGAAGCTAACAGGAAGAAGAGAAAACAATTTTAAGACAAGGATTTCAAAGTGGGTTATTTATAGAGTCAACACTCAATTATCCATGGTCAGATTATCTGTACCAGAGATGCAGAAACAAATCAGCTCCAGCTGGGCTCATTAGCCTAGGTGCAGCCCAGTGCAAATGTTCCTATACTTCCAGGGACGGTGTAGGTCCAGAAATTATGTAACAACTTTTTTACAGCATAAGACTGAAGTCCTTTTTTTATCGAAAGTGAGATGCTTCA